TTTCCTTGTTTTCCCTGTTTTCCCTGTTCCCCCTGTTCCGTTTCCCCTCTTTCCCTGTTCCCTGTTTTCCCTGTTTCCCTGTTCCCCTGTTCCCTATTTTCCCTCTTTCCCTGTTTTCCCTCTTCCCTGTTTTCCAAGATTCCTGAGGGGTTTCTGGAAGCGGCTCCTCCTCCCCAGGGTCCAAATCCCAAATCCTGGGGTCCAAATCCCAGATCCCAGGGGCTGAATTCCAAACCCCTGGGGCTGAATCCCAAATCCCGGGGTCCGAATCCCAAATCTCTGGGACTGAATCCCAAATCCCAGGGGCTGAATCCCAGATTCCCGGGGCTGAATCCCAAACCCCTGGAGCTGAATCCCAAATCCTGGGGCTGAATCCCAAATCCCTGGGGCTGAATCCCAGATTCCCGGGGCTGAATCCCAAACCCCTGGGGCTGAATCCCAAATCCCAGGGATTCAGGAATCTCATCCCGCCCCATCCCAAAGCTCCACCCCCCGAATTCCAGGATGGGTATTCCCAGTGCCGGCCCCATTCCAACCTCAGGAGCTCCGGGATTTGGGATCCAACTCCTTTTCCCATCGTTTTCCCATCAAATCCCGCCCTAAAACCCCCCAAAAGGGCCTCGGGAATGAGCCATTCCCGCCCTTTTCCAGCCGCAAATCCCTCGGGATCATCCGGATTCCCTCGGGATCATCCTCACCTCTCATCCCAGCCGGGAGATTCCCGGGATTGGGAACATCCCGGGGGGCTCCAGGAGTCCCCTCAGCTCCAAGAAAAGCCTTGGAATCCCTTCGGATCCAACTGAAATCCCTCGGATCCGATGGGAGGAGCCTGGAATGGGATGAGGGGGTTTGGAATTCCGGCTCTGGGCCCTCGTTCCAGGACAAAGGGACGTTGTTCCCTCGGGAATTCCATCAGCCCACACGGAATTCTTGGCCTTGGGGTGACTGGAAACACCCAAAGATCCCGGATTGGCCGGAATTATTCCCAAAAAATTGGATTTTTTAATTTTATATCCAAAGGTTCGTAGCCAAATATTGGATTTTCTATCCAAATATTGGATTTTCTACCCAAATATTGGATTTTTTTAATTTTATATCCAAAGGTTCATGTCCAAATATTGGATTTTTCTACCCAAATATTGGATTTTTTTAATTTTATATCCAAAGGTTCATGTCCAAATATTGGATTTTTCTACCCAAATATTGGATTTTCTACCCAAATAGTGAAGTTTTCTACCCAAATATCAGATTTTTCTACCCAAATATTGGATTTTTTTAATTTTATATCCAAATGTTCTTATCCAAATATCAGATTTTCTACCCAAATATCGGATTTTCTGGATTATATCCAAGTATTTTACATCCCATTACCGGGGTTTTGACATCCAAATATTGGATTTTTAAATTTTATATCCGAACGTTTGAAGCCAAATATAGGATTTTTCTACCCAAATATTGGATTTTCTACCCAAATATTCAATTTATAAATTTTATATCTAAACGATCGTATCCAAATATTGGATTTTTAAATTTTACATCCGAATGTTCCCAGCCAAATATTGGATTCTCTGGATCGTATCTAAATATTTTATGTCCAATTATCGGGGTTTTAATATCCAAATATTGGATTTTTTGGGGATTATATCCAAACGTTCACACCAAAATATTGGGAAAAGGGGAAGAGGAACAGCAGGGGGGCGATTCCCAAAAAACTTGGGGAGGCTCCAGAGTCTGGGGATGTTCCAGAGCCTGTGGATGTTCCAGAGCCTGTTCCAGAGCCTGTGGATGCTCCAGATCATATTCCAGACCCTCTGGATGCTCCAGAGCCTATTCCAAAGCCTGTGGATATTCCAGAGCCTGTGGATGTTCCAGACCCTGTTCCAGAGCCTGTGGATATTCCAGACCCTGTGGATGCTCCAAACCCTGTGGATGCTCCAGATACTTTTCCAAAGCCTGTGGATGTTCCAGAGCCTTGGATGCTCTAGATCATATTCCAGACCCTGTGGATGCTCCAGACCCTTTCCCAGACCCTATTCCAGACCCTGTGGATGTTCCAGACCCTGTGGATATTCCAGACCCTGTGGATGTTCCAGACCCTATTCCAGAGCCTGTGGATCTTCCAGAGCCTGTGGATGCTCCAGACCCTGTGGATGTTCCAGACCCTGTGGATATTCCAGACCCTGTGGATTCTCCAGATCCAGTTCCAGACCCTATGGATGCTCCAGATCCTGTGGATGCTCCAGACCCTATTCCAGAGCCTGTGGATGCTCCAGACCCTATTCCAGAGCCTGTGGATGTTCCAGACCCCATTCCAGACCCTGTGGATGTCCCAGACCCTATTCCAGATCCTGTGGGTGTTCCAGACCCTGTTCCAGATCCTGTGGATGTTCCAGACCCTGTTCCAGGTCTGTGGATGCTCCAGACCCTGTGGATGTTCCAGAGCCTCTGGATATTCCAGACCCTGTGGATTCTCCAGATCCAGTTCCAGACCCTGTGGATGTTCCAGACCCTATTCCAGACCCTGTGGCTGCTCCAGACCCTGTGATCCCCTGGATTTTCCAGGAATTTCCCACTCTGCCCCTCCTGGAGCTGCTCCGGGGGTCCCATTTTCCCCCCCGACCGTCCCTGTTGGGACCCTCCCGGAAAACTCCTGGAAGAAGCTCCTGGACCCCTTCCCTCCCTCTGGATCCTCCTGGAAAACTCCTGGAAAAAGGTCCTGGACCCCTTCCCTCCCTCTGGATCCTCCTGGAAACCCCCTGGGAGATGGTCCTGGACCCCTTCCCTCCTCTGGATCCTCCTGGAAAAATGTCCTGAACCAATTCCTTCCACCTGGTTTCTCCTGGAAAACTCCTGGAAGAAGGTCCTGAACCCCTTCCCTCCCTCTGGTTTCTCTGGAAAAGATCCCAAAAGGAGCCAGGAAAAGTGGGATGTGACGGAGGAGACGCTGGAAAAGGGGAAGCACAAAACCCTCCCGAGCA